CGCTAACATTTTCACAACGGCGAACACCTGCAATCCATTTAATGTAAACATTGGTGGAAAATGGCAAATATATGCAAATATTGATCAAGGTCATGACCACCTCCGTGATATATTGTTGCTAGCATCGGTTCCCTGATCTGACTTGTTGTTCCTGACCCTTCAAGGAAACAAAGCCCCCTGACTACTTGGGCCCCTTTCACATATGGACCCTGTTTCACCATCACCAAAATAATCATCCTCTTCAAGAACTCACGAGCCTCCCTTTTGTATACCGTAAAGCCCCTCCATCAAATCTGACAACGGTTTAGAAAAATTAGAAATAGATTATGGTGGTTGGTTTGTTGAGCCTCTTTGTGTTAAACACTGAGTGTCGACAGAAGGCAGTGACGAATAAAGTGAACGTTTCACTCTAACCAAACGACGATTACCAGTTAATAGGAACCGTGATTTTAATATGAAAGAAAAGAAACAACAATATCGAGTAAAAACGTAGATTAACTATACTTTAAATAAATTAAGGAGAATAATAAGGTCGTAATATTAATAGTTTTTAAATAGATGTTTAGCCTTTTCGTATATAATGTTAATGCAATGAACATGATGATACAATAATGTCGCGTATGACATTTGCCTTGTTTTTATTGATTTGTATAACTTTTTGTCGAGATTGCAGGAGTCAATTTATTTTAGGCTGTATAATTGTGGTGAAAAGTTTTATTGGAACATTCTAATTGTTCAACCAGTAAATCACTGTGATGATATTCTTTAATTACAGGTAAAAAGAACTATTCTATTATGTTTAGAGGTTGAAAGTTGAAACAGAGTATCAATTGTCAAGTGAATTTAGAGCCTTGTGTTATAATTTTTAATAACTGTTTGGGGTAAATGAAACCGCAACTCTGTCTGTACGAACCGAACACGCGCCTCGATATCTGTCGGTACAATCAGCGAAGCATACAGTACATTATTCTTTCATAGACACAATGAAAACGTAATACGGTATTCAATCTAAATTCATTATGGTCAAATTAATTTCACATAAAATGCTCGTTAAAGGTTTTTCAGATACTACGGGTGTATCACTGTGTATATGTTTTGATGTGGAACGTAGTAAAAGATATGAAAGATAAGAGACTTGCGGGTATTGACTAATTGATGTCAATGAGGGAGACGACATAAACAGTTAGAATACACTGTTACTTATATTTAACCGCGGTATGACATGATCCCCATGTGTCAATTTCATTAACAATGATGTGCTTAATATAGGTGTTATCAATTACATTCTGTCAAACGATGCGACAGTATAGAACATGTCTACCCCAGTACATGAAATATGATAACATGTCTACCCCAGTATATGAAATATGATAACATGTCTACCCTAGTATATGAAATATGATAACATGTCTACCCCAGTATGTGAAATATGATAACATGTCTACCCCAGTATATGAAATATAATAACATGTCTACCCCAGTACATGAAATATGATAACATGTCTACCCTAGTATATGAAATATGATAACATGTCTACCCCAGAACATGAAATATGATAACATGTCTACCCCAGTGCATGAAATATGATAACATGTCTACCCTAGTATATGAAATATGATAACATGTCTACCCCAGTATATGAAATATGATAACATGTCTACCCCAGTATATGAAATATAATAACATGTCTATCCTAGTTTATGAAATATGATAACATGTCTACCCCAGTATATGAAATATGATAACATGTCTACCCAAGTATATGAAATATGATAACATGTCTACCCCAGTGCATGAAATATGATAACATGTCTACCCTAGAACATAAAATATGATAACATGTCTACACCAGTACGTGGAATATGATAACATGTCTACCCCAGTATATGAAATATGACAACGTGTCTACCCCAGTATATGAAATATGATAACATGTCGACCCCAGTATATGAAATATGATAACATGTCTACCCTAGTACATAAAATATGATAACATGTCTACACCAGTCCGTGGAATATGATAACATGTCTACCCCAGTATATGAAATATGATAACATGTCTACCCCAGTTTATGAAATATGATAACATGTCTAGCCCAGAACATGAAATATGATAACATGTCTACCCCAGTACATGAAATATATTAACCTGTCTACCCCAGTATATGAAAAATGATAACCTGTCTACCCCAGTACATGAAATATGATAACATGTCTACCCAGTACATGAAATATGATAACATGTCTACCCCAGTACATGAAATATGATTACATGTCTACCCCAGTACATAAAATATGATAACATGTCTACACCAGTACATGGAATATGATAACATGTCTACCCCCGTATATGAAATATGATAACATGTCTACCCTTGTATATGAAATATGATAACATGTCTACCCCAGTATATGAAATATGATCACATGTCTACCCCAGTATATGAAATATGATAACATGTCTACCCCTGTTTATGAAATATGATAACATGTCTAGCCCAGAACATGAAATATGATAACATGTCTACCCCAGTACATGAAATATGATAACATGTCTACCCCAGTACATGAAATATATTAACCTGTCTACCCCAGTAAATGAAAAATGATAACCTGTCTACCCCAGTACATGAAATATGATAACATGTCTACCCCAGTACATGAAATATGATAACATGTCTACCCCAGTACATGAAATATGATAACATGTCTACCCCAGTACATGAAATATGATAACATGTCTACCCCAGTACATGAAATATGATAACATGTCTACCCCAGTACATGAAATATGATAACATGTCTACCCCAGTACATGAAATATGATAACATGTCTACCCCAGTACATGAAATATGATAACATGTCTACCCCAGTACATGAAATATGATAACATGTCTACCCCTGTACATGAAATATGATAATATGTCTACCCCAGTATATAAAATATGATAACATGTCTACCCCAGTTCATGAAATATGATAACATGTCTACCCCAGTATATGAAAATTACATTACGTTACAGCATGTCGACAGCTTACATCAAAATCACACTGAAAGCTGATAGAGTAGGGGCTAATCTGCCATAAAAAACACCTATAATAGTGAATTTTTTTATCACAATAGCTCCCATAAATTATTAGGTTGCAAATATCGTTGTTTTTTTACCTCATATTTTCTGTGATGAATAATTTCAATTCAGGCTATATTACTCAGTAATAGGTTCGAGACAATTTCTTTTATCTTGAATCATATAAATTGAAGTAAATAGCATTAGGCGTCCGTTTCTAGAATTACTAATTGTTAACATTTCACCTTTCAAAGTGCTGATATGTGCTTAATACACGATTTACAGATATATGATATCGAAAAAATTGTTTCCTTTCTCAACTCAATTGATGATTATTACATGTAACAATGTATACGACAGTTTTTATCCAAAGTCATAATAAAAAAAAACAAGTACAAAAATGAAAAATTTGTAAAAATTCAATATATTTATATTTAAGTAAAGACATATATGTCATAATATGCCAGTTGAAAATAGCTAAGATATCCATAGATTTAAACAGGTTAAGCAAAATACCTTGAAGATGTAATATATTAAAGTAGTGTGAATGTTCACAGCTTTAAACGAGCATCATGTAGACAGATATGTTAGAGATAATTTAGAAAAATATAGCGCTGATGTTCAACATCAAAGTCGAAGAATAAAATGTGACATGTCTCAAAAATAACTTTATCTTATGAATCGCTCATTAAGAAATATGTCCGCTATTTCATGAATATTTCATTTATTTTAGTTTATTTACGGATCAACTGTCGGGTGGCATGAGACAATCGCCACGATTGTGATTAAGACGTGCAGTGCGCTCCTTAGCTGCGTATTAGCATATCAAAGATGGTGTTAGGGTCGGGGAATCCAGGGAAAGACCAGCCATATGGCAAACGATCTGAAGGAGCGCCTATAGCTCACTTAGAAATGGTCGAAGTTTTTTTTGTTCTGACAGCCTGTGTATTAATACGACTTTGTTTTACAAGCATCACATTTAACGTAATTTGTGAAAAATTAAACCATGGACGTCAGTTCTATATCAGATTCCGTCCAATATCACCGGGATCAGTCACAGATAATCCGCGCGAAACTGATCTGGTTTCATATCATTATTTCCTTATTAATTTGAGTATCGATGACAAATCCTACTGTGTACTTTTTTGCCATTGTGCTTTTTATCATATTTTGTTTCTTATATTTTTTCTTAATAAAAATAAAAACCTTTATATTGTTTTTCTTAAGTGTGTATATAATGTACACACTATGATTGGGTTTTTCAGTTACAATTTGATATGAAATCAAAAAGTACAGAAATATAGATGGACTTAACTTTGTTTTTAATTACGTATCTTAGGTACTATTAGCTATTATAGAGAATTCTTTATTTTGTTCTTAATGGATATTCTGCCTAATTATTTTACAATAAATGATTTCATTTTCAAGTTGAATGCTCAAAGACGTACAGGTCTGCTTTTTTCTATCAGAAAAATGCTTAAAGTCTTAGGTCATGTAACGGTGATGACAAACCTTAGGTAAGAGCCATTTGTGTCTTCAAATATCTTAAGATGGTGTATCATTTGTCCATAATTGATTTTAAAACGCTGGTTTGGTAGGAATTGGTTGCAGGTTTACACCAGTTACTACAGAATGCCTACACCCCATCAAGGCCCACTCTCCCAGCGTCAATTGGATTAGGGAAGACTCCATACACAGGCACACACAAGTAATTATTTGCCTCTCAAACTTGGCAGCTGCGCACAAATCCCTATTATCTGGCGGTGCATACCGAATTAGTACACGAGCCAATCAAATCACAGGATACAACTCACACATCAAAGCTGATCAATTAATTTCCTAATATGATTTGGTGTTTTCGGGAAGCCAGATAAACGATATCTTGTCTCGATTGAAGAGGACTGGTCATTTCTGGTGAAGTACTGGACGCGGATTCGACAACATGACAAATTAACTGCCGAAATAGAAGGAAACTAACAATCATTCCCGATTGCTAAACGTCTAAATCGGCTGTCAAGACGAGTGCTCAAGGATATCACTCTAAAACTATTTTGAAGTTCGTTTAATCATCCAGGGCACGCCGCTTGGTAACACGAAGTTATGTTCTGACCATACAACAGTACCCGTTGTATAGTTTTATTTTATTTTTTGCGTTTCGAAGTAGATTGTGCTGATAAAGCACTGCGAAACAAGGGGACAACCAAATATATTTATTTTTTATTTTTATTGTTTTGCGCAAAAACAATCTGAAGTGACTTTTCGTTGTGTCTCGGCTCATTCGAGTGCTATGAACATAACAAAAGAAGCAAATGAGCAAAAGTTTGAGAATATTCGAGTTAAACAAGAAATACAAGCAGCTATGATGGAAAATATATTCAGATCGAATCAAGCAAATCCGCCACTGTTCAGTATAGCAGCGTTAAGTGGAGAACGTGTGACGGAGCAAGAAAATATTTACATGAAACAGCGTGATGACTTTCAGGATGAAAATGCCGACGACAACGAATATTCTAATGTGAAAGTTGACGTGGAGGAAAATAGCAGCGACGATAGTGATAACAGCTCTTCGTCTGATCGACAAAACGACGATTTTGGAATTATAGGAGAAAGTTACGAGCAAAAAGGCCTCGATGGGAAAACGAAAGTACGGAAACAAAAAGGTGAGAAAGTAGTGAGGTTAAACATTAATGCGAGAGAAAGAAGAAGAATGCACGATTTAAATGATGCTCTTGATGAACTTCGTTCAGTGATACCTTACGCACATAGCCCTTCTGTACGAAAACTTTCAAAAATAGCAACTTTATTGCTGGCTAAGAATTTCATATTAATGCAAGCTAACGCTCTGGAGGAAATGCGACGAGTTATCGCATACAGAAACAATCCTTCGACCACCCCATCTGTGTGTTTGGAGCCCTACTCAAGGTACCCAAACATGCCAGGTTTGCAGGCTTTAACGGGGTTTCCGAGGAACAATGGACGAAAGTTCTCCCCGACATTCCAAAGGACAGGTGACAGTAGTGCATTCAAGCGGAACTCGAATGACAAAGTGTAGCAATACAACGGACAACAGCTGCTGACAAATGGACAGACCAGACGAAAGGCTCATGTATATTTATTTAATAATACAAGTGTAAAGTACTGCATTTAATAACAAAATGATCTTGCATATGATCGTATTTATGTAAGATGGAACTGCAAAAGAAAGAACGATACTGTGGTAAGTTACAATGAGAAAATGTTGAAGGCTTCCACGAACTATATGTGTAATATAAGAGTGAACGCAACCAACCCATAAACGGTATAACATATTACATTTATCTATTGCAGAAAAAGATATTGAAATTTCAATGTTGCCAGTGTATATTATTTTTTATGTATCTCATTAACTAAATCCAATAAACACAACAATGCTACTTTTTGTTTTACGTTATTTATTTGAAGATTTAAGCAACTCAGAGTCATGCCAATATTAGGTAAATGTAAAGAGATTAAGGTCAGAAAATCAAAAATAGAAGAGGGAATAGTCTTAGGGCTTACAACGAACGAAATACATCTCATTTTTCCTTCAGCTATTAATTTCGTATAATGAAAATTCTTTACAAATTTAGTTACTTTTAGAACTTTTATATTAAAATATTGAACAGATTTAGACGTTTTATCTGATTCAAAAATGTGCCAGATTAGCCTTCGCATTATTCTCAAAACAAATGTAATCAATATCAGAATGATATGTATTTTAAAATAGATTCTCGTATAAACACGTTTTAATAATATAATTTAAAATAGGATATAGTGTCAATTATAAAACGTTAACAATTTGGTATAAAACCCATTGCTACGTATACATATTGCATGAGGCAACTTGTCAAAATGTCATTTAGTTGTATTTAATACGCCTAGTGCGATATGCTATTTACAATGTCTGGAATATTTCTTAAGCAGATTTAATCATAACATCTTTATCTAATAAGAATATATCTAGTACTTAAGGAAGTTAATTTCTTCTAACTTTTATTTTTCAATTGTTTTTTTTTAAATGTTACTGGAAACCAATCAGCTAGATTTTATTTTAGTTATGATATAAAGTTTATTTTCAGTTATATAATCAACAACACCTGATCAGTACCTAAAACATTGGTTGTTTACATCACTTGTCATTTATAAAGTCTACTGTCCCAACTTGATATTCTCTGTAACAAAAGTTATCAATAAATGTATATCAAAGAGAAAATTTAATAATGGATAAAGACCTATAAAAACATATAATAAGCGTTTAAAAAAATAACATTTAACTGGTTTGTATTTTCTTTTATTCCATCCTTGGTTTTGCGACAACCTGTATTAATATATTATGAAGTTCTCGAAAATAATATTGAATCTCAGGAATTAGTTTAAGTTTAAGGAAACAGAAACAAAAATTTCGGAATAGGATACAATTGCTGAAGGCAAATCTGAGCGTCAGATGTCAACATGACACCTCGCTTTTGTTTGGTTATATCCGGTACTAAACAGAATCTGTTGTTCGGTTATTTTTTCCCAACATGACGCGGTACTGAAATTAAATTCACCAACATATCGTTAGCTTATTACATAATGCTGCTATGTTTTGTTATACATGTTATTTATATATATAAACACCTATTTAATTACCCGTATTGACTGACTACATGCAGCATCTAATACAGAAATTATGTGCATATTCCATATATAGATTAAAGAGCTGTTCAATTCCGTTATAAGGAAACCAAAATATACTTGCAAGAATTCAATTTTGTGGGCAACAACCTTTGAAGTAAATTAATACTTGAACAAATTTTTTCAACGGTATCATTATTTTGCTCAAAATCATTTCAATGCGAAATTGAATATACTATGTTTAAATTTAAAATCTTAAAGTGAGTAGCGTGTTCGTCAAACAACCTTGACCTTAAATGAAACTTATTTAAAGTTAACCAGAAAGAGAGTATTGCGTGGTACCTGTTACCAGAAAACGAGTAGTGTTTTGGCATCTTGTCCTTCAAATGAGTTCTGTGTTGGACCTCAACCTGAAATGGAGTAGTCTTTAAGACGTTGACAGATAGGGTGAAGTGTGCAGAACACCTTGATCTTAAATCAGCAATACGTATCATATGACTTTAATCTACTGGCGCTGGTCAGTTAACTCGACCGAAAGTTGACGGTCAGGCAAAAGCAAAATTAATTAAACCAACCGACAATGCTTCATATTTACATTTGCTCTGTATCCGTTCCTTGCAATGCATTGAGAAGGCAAATGTTGTTATGACAACATTTGCTATTGTAACGTCATCCATCTCTATTGTGACGTAATCAATTTAATTGTTGTCAAGACTTGATTTGCTGATTTGCTGTTCAAAGAATTGTTCGAAATAACTAAAAGAAAAAAAGGATACTTCTCTATCAAAATGTAAATATAAATAATGAATACTTTAGCAAATATCGTTATGGTCCTATAACACACATTTCTATTGCTGACAAACTTACATAAAGCCCTACCAGGCTTTATTAAGTTTGTCATCAATAGCAATGTGTGTTATAGGACCATAACAACGTTTTCTGATACATTGCCTAAATGAACCCCGTTTAATACTTAATATGTAACATCATTTTTAAAGTCATAATATGTCGAGGACTGGTTGATATATGTTATGGGAGGTTAATGAAATTTTGTTATGTAATTAATACCAACGTGTACTGGTCTTAGGCCTACTTGTAGTTCTCCTAAACAACTACTCTTTATCTAAACACTCAGACGGATAATCTGACTGGGGTACTGGTTTACTCAATAATATTTTCTTGTTAGTATTTGCCAGTGCTACGTGTTTGACATAATATAACCGGAAATTTTCGACCGGTCAAACTATAGCCATTTGCCCATGAAACCAATTTTGGCCCAGTGTTAATTTCGCCTTCACATTTAAGTAATATGTATATTATGCTATTAGCTTACATTCGCTGTAATGATAAATTCATCCTCATTACGGAGGGCGAAAACTATACTACACTGAAAATTTCCCGGTAAACAGTATACAAAGTGAGATGTAGTGAGTCTTAGAAGTGATAACTGAATGTCTGTAAGAAAAGTATCCATACCTATATATTACTTTGTGTCTTATTTGAACTAGTTGAACTACTGAAGCTAGAAACAAACGGACTTTACTAAAATGCTAATGTAGTCAGCTATTTCCTTTAAATACCCTTTCCAATACATACTATGTATATTGTATTATCACATTGAGAATACATATGTGTTCGAATATAATTAATTAAATATACATTATCACATATATTCGTATAGTTAAATATATTATCATTACAATATTATGTAGTGTTGAATATTGTGATATTATCATGGATGGAAGAATCATCCGAATGGAAGTTGGAAATAATTTTTAACGGACGAATAAATGAATCGGTCAAATAATAAATTTGTGTATTGTATCAAAAGTTTGCACCCCTCCCCCCTCACCAGCTTGACCTTAAAGTGAGTTGTGTGTGGGACCTTGACCTTAACTTTAATTGTGAGTTGTGTGTGGGACCTTGACCTTAACCATAATTAGTTGTGTGTGGGACCTTGACCTTAACTTTAATAGTCAGTTGTGTGTGAGACCTTGACCTTAACTTTAATAGTGAGTTGTGTGTGGGACCTTGACCTCAACTTTAATAGTGAGTTGTGTGTGGAACCTTGACCATAACTTTAAATGTGAGTTGTGTGTGGGACCTTGACCATAACCTTAATAGTTAGTTGTGTGTGGGACCTTGACCTCAACTTTAATAGTGAGTTGTGTGTGGGACCTTGACCATAACCACAATAATTAGTTTTGTGTGGGAACTTGATCCTAACCTTAATAGTGAGTTGTGTGTGGTACCTAAACCTTAACCTAAATAGTGAGCTATGTGTGGAACCTAAACCTTAGTAGTGAGTAGTGTGGGACCTTGACCTTAGCTTTAATAGTGAGTTGTGAGTGGGACCTTGACCTTAACCTTAATAGTGAGTTGTGTGTGGGACCTTGACCTTAACTTTAATAGTCAGTTGTGTGTGAGACCTTGACCTTAACTTTAATAGTGAGTTGTGTGTGGGACTTTGACCTTAACTTTAATAGTGAGTTGTGAGTGGGACCTTGACCTTAACTTTAAAAGTGAGCTGTGGGTGTGGGACCTTGACCCTAACTTTAATAGTGAGTTGTGTGTGGGACCTTGACCTTAACCTTAATTAGTTGTGTGTGGGACCTTGACCTTAACCTTAATTAGTTGTGTGTGGGACTTTGACCTTAACTTGAATAATGAGTTGTGTGTGGGACCTTGACCTTTACCTAATTAGTTGTGTGTGGGACCTTGACCTTAACTTTAATAATGAGTTGTTTGTGGGACCTTAGCCTTAACCTTAATAGTTAGTTGTGTGTGGGACCTTGACCTCAACTTTGATAGTGAGTTGTGTGTGGGACCTTGACCATAACCACAATAATTAGTTTTGTGTGGGAAATTGATCATAACATTAATAGTGAGTTGTGTGTGGGACTTAAACCTTAACCTAAATAGTGAGCTGTGTGTGGGACCTAAACCTTAATAGTGAGTAGTGTGGGACCTTGACCTTACCTTTAATAGTGAGTTGTGTGTGGAACCTTGACCATAATCCTAAAAGTGAGTTTTGTGTGGGACATTGACTATAACCTTAGTAGTTAGTTGTGTGTGGGACCTTGACCTCAACTTCAATAGTGAGTTGTGTGTGGGACCTTGATCATAACCTTAATAGTGAGTTGTGTGTAGGACCTTGACCATAACCTTAATAATGAGTTTTTATGTGGGAATTTGATCATAACCTTAATAGTGAGTTGTGTGTGGTACCTAAACCTCAACCTAAATAGTGAGCTGTGTGTGGGACCTAAACTTTGGCTTTAATAGTGAGTTGTGTGTGGGACCTTGACCTCAACTTTAATAGTGAGTGGTGTGTGGGACCTTGACCATAACCTTAATAGTTAGTTGTGTGGAGACCGGGACCATAACCTTAATAATTAGTTTTTATGTGGGACCTTAATCATAACCTTAATAGTGAGCTGTGTGTGGGACCTAAACCTTAATAGTGAGTAGTGTGGGACCTTGACCTTACCTTTAATAGTGAGTTGTGTGTGGAACCTTAACCTTAATTTTTATAATGAGTTGTGTGTGGCACCTTGACCTTAACTTTAATAGTGAGCTGTATGTGGGACCTTGACCTTAACTTTAATAGTGGGTTGTGTGTGGGTCCTTGACCTTAACTTTAATAGTGAGTTGTGAGTGGGACCTTGACCTTAACTTTAATAGTGGGTTGTGTGTGGGTCCTTGACCTTAACTTTAATAGTGAGTTGTGAGTGGGACCTTGACCTTAACTTTAATAGTGGGTTGTGTGTG